TTGATCTTTGTTGGTTTAAAGTCTGTTTTATCAGAGACTAGGACTGCAACCCCTGATTTTTTTTTGCTTTCCATTTGCTTGGTAAATATTCCTCCATCCCATTATTTTGAGCCTATGTGTGTGTCTTTGCATGTGAGATGAGTCTCCTGAATACAGCACACTGATAGGTCTTGGCCCTTTATCCAACTTGCCAGTCTGTGTTTTTTAATTGGGGCATTTAGCCATTTACATGTAAGGTTAATATTGTTATGTGTGAATTTGATCCTGCCAATATAATGCTAGCTGGTTATTTTGCCTGTTAGTTGATGCAGTTTCTTCATAGCGTCAATGGTCTTTCCAACTGGTATATTTATGAAGTGCCTGGTACTGGTTGTTCCTTTCCATGTTTACTGCTTCCTTCAGGAGCTCTTGTAAGGCAGACCTGGTGGTGACAAAAATCTCTCAGCAGTCGCTTGTCCGTAAAGGATTTTATTTCTCCTTTGTTTATGAAGCTTAGTTTGGCTGGATATGAAATTCTCGGTTGAAAATTCTTTTCTTTAAGAATGTTGAATATTGGCCCTCACTCTCTTCTGACTTGTAGGGTTTCTGCTGAGAGGTATCCTGGGAGTCTGATGGGCTTCCCTTTGTGGTAACCCCGACCTTTCTCTATGGCTGCCCTTAGCCTTTTTTCCTGCCTTTCAACCCTGGTGAATCTGATAATCATGTGTCTTGGGGTTGCCTTCTTGAGGAGTATCTTTGTGGTGTGTTCTGCATTTCCTGAATTTTAATGTTGGCCTGCCTTGCTATATTGGGGAAGTTCTGGATAATATCCTGAAGAGTGACGGGGAGTTTCCAACTTGATTTCATTCTCCCTGTCACTTTCAGGTCACCAATCAAGCATTGATTTGGTCTTTTCACGAAATCCCATATTTCTTGGAGGCTTTGCTCATTTATTTTCACTCTTCTTTCTTTAATATTGTCTTCTCACTTTATTTCATTGAGTTGGTCTTCAATCTCTGATATCCTTTCTTCCACTTGATCAAGTCAGTTAATGAAACTTGTGTATGCTTTATAAAATTCTCATGCTGTTTTATTCAGCTCTATTAGGTCGTTTATGTTCTTCTCCTAATGGTTATTCTGGTTGGCATTTCATCTAACCTTTTTTCCAAGGTTCTTAGCTTCTTTTCATTGGGTTAGAACATGCTACTTTAGCTCAGTGATGTTTGTTACTACCCACCTTCTGAAGTTTGCTTCTGTCAGTTCATTAAACTCATTCTCCAGTTTTGTTCCCTTGGTGGTGAGAAGTTGTGATCCATTGGAGTAGAGGAGGTATTCTGGTTTTTGGAATTTTCAGCCTTTTTGTGCTGGTTTCTTCCCATCTTCATGGATTTATCTACCTTTAGTCTTTGAAGTTGGTGACCTTTGGATGGTGTCTCTGGGTGGACATCCTTCCTGTTGATGTTGAAACTATTTCTTTCTCTTTGTTAGTTTTCCTTCTAACAGGCTCCTCTGCTGCAGAGTTTGCTGGAGGTCCACTCTAGACTCTGCTTGCCCGGGAATCACCAGCAGTGGCTGCAGAACAGCAAAAATTGCTGCCTGTTCCCTCCTCTGGTAGCTTTGTCCCAGAAGGGTTCCTGTCAGATGCCAGCTAGAGCTCTCCTGTTTGAGGTGTCTGTTGGCCCCTACTGGGAGGTGTCTCCCAGTCAGGATACATGGGGGTCAGGGAGTCACTTGAGGAGGCAGTCTGTTCCTTATCAGAGCTCAAACGCTGTGCTGGAAGATCCACTGCTCTCTTCAGAGCTGCCAGGCAGGAATGTTTAAGTCTGCTGAAGCTGTGTCCCTTTTCCCAAGTGTCTGTCCGAGGAATGTGGGGGCTTTATTTATAAGTCCCTGACAGGCTGCTACCTTTTTTCAGAGATGCTCTGCCCAGTGAGGAGGGAGTCTAGTCACAGTCGGCCTGCAGAGGCCTTGCTGAGCTGCCATGGATGGTCTCTACCCAGTTTGAACTTCCTGGCAATTTTGTTTACATTGTGATGTTAAAACTGCCTACTCAAGCCTCAGCTATGGTGAATGCCCCTCCCTGCACCAAACTCGAATGTGCTAGGTCAAGCTGACTGCTGTGCTGGCTGTGAGAATTTCATGCCAGTGGATATTAACTTGCTGGTCTTCGTGGGGGTGGGACCTGCTTAGCCAGATCAGTTGGTTCCCTGGCTTCAGCCCCCTTTCCAGGGAAGTGAATGGTTCTGTCTTGCTTGCATTCCAGGTGCCACTGGGGTATGAAAAAACAAAACAAAACAAAACTGCTGCAGCTAGCTTGGTGTCTTCCCAAATGGCCTCCCAGTTTTGTGCTGGAAACCCAGGGGCCTGCCAAACCAAGCTCTTTTAACTGTAAGTAAACCATATTACCAAAGAATTTTTCAAATGTGAAAACTGTGAGTGGATCAAATTTCACTGGGGCAAAAAGTACATTTCTGCAGTGACCTAAAGTAAGTAGTGTTCAACCTATTCCTGCATAATTATTCCCAAACTTGCCTGACAGGAATCATGGGGAATCTATTTTAAAAAATTCAGTAAGTGTCGGTTAGGGCCCAGGAATTGGTTTTTTAAAATGCACTCTGGGTGATTATTCACATCAGGCAAGGTGGGAAAACTGGTGAGGTATGAGTGAGAGAAAATTTCTGTGCGGTGATGCAGTTTCCAAAATACCCAACTTATTACATATTATGGGTTGAGTATTCTTCTTTAAAATGCTTGGGATCAGAAGTGTTTCAGATTTCTGATGTGAAAAAATATTTCAGAATATTTTCATTTCCTTACTGGCTGAACATCTTAAGTCCAGAAATCCTAACTGTTCCAATGAGCATTTCCTTATGTCAGCACTCAAAATGTTTTGGATTCTGGAGCATTTCTGATCTTAAGATTTGGGATGCTCAACCTGTATTTATAACCAAATGATTCTAAATGTTCTTGCTGTCTAGTTTATAATCTTACACTAGAGTGAGGATAAATCAGTTCAGATCTCATCTTCCTTTTCTATACCAACCATGAAGAAGTATCAGATGTCACAGAAGCCAATACTGAATGTTTTCATAGAGAAATAGTACTGGTGCTTTTCAGGACAGAGGCTGGCACAGTGTGAAGGCTTAACTGTTAGTAATAAACTAGTCTTAGCAAATTCAGAAAATAAAAACATGTTTTTAAAAAGGGATGTATAGAATCTGTATACTGAGTATGATGTAATCTTTATATATTAAAATGTCTGACTATAAAAATAGTATCCCATAATCATTCCCTCTGTGCCCACTCTTCTACAAAGTGACTTTCTCTTATCAAGAGATTAGTTTTTCCCCACTCCTTGAATATGGACTTCCCTTGTGAGTTGGTTTAGTCAACAAAATGCAGCCAAGTGATGTCATGTGACTTTGGGTCCTAGACCTCAAGAGACCTTGCAATTTCCACCTGCACCTCTCTGAACACTTCCCCTACTAAGTAAGGAAGCTCAGTGTTGAGAAAGGATGATCAGAGACCATGTAGAAAGAGAGAGTTCTAGCCACCAAATTTCCAGATGAGTGAGGTAATCTTAACATAGGCAAGACCAGCATTAGAACTGTCTAGTAGGTATTATCAATCACCTGACAAAGTCATGAGAAATAATGAACTGATACAAGACACTAAGTTTTGGGTGGTTAATTACACAGCAATGTATAACTGGGGTTAAAACGCACAAGAAAAGCAAACAGGAATGAATCATTTATTCAAACATAAAACAAGAAGCTATATAATTTTGGGAGTTTCATTTTTTGAGAGTAAAAACTACAAAATTGAACAGCGAGGAGGAAAAAAACAAATTCCGATAATTTGATTCAACATTAATCCTTTAAAAATCACTATAACAAGTTTAAATATAAATGATTTATTTTTATATTCACAAAACTAATTATAATACACAATGAATTCTGTTACGGTTTTATGTGTGTGTGTTAGAGAGTATAGATCTCCATATCACTACCTAATTTGTCTGTTTGTTCAAAAGAGTTATTTTTAATTTTTATGTTTTTGGAGACAGGGTCTTGCTCTCTTTCCCAGGCTGTAGCACAAGGGCACCATCACTGCTCACTGCAGCCACAAACTCCTGGGCTCAACCAATCCTCCTGTCTCAGCCTACAAGTAGCTTGGACTACAGGCATACATACACCACCATGCCAATTTTTTGATCTAGTAGAGACAGGACCTTACCCTGTTGCCTAGGCTGGTCTCGAACTTCTAGCTTCAACCAATCCTCCCAACTTGGCCTCTCAAAGTACTAAGATAGTAGGCATGAGCCACTGCACCCAGGCCAAAAAAGGTATTTTAGATCACCATTAAATTGTAGTGCTCTTTCCCATCAAACATAGTAGGCTTGTATCCCTGTGGTGAATGTAGAAGGCATTGATTGTAGGGAAATTAGCATACAATATTGCAATTCATACCCATTGGCAGCTAAAAAAAATTAAAGTGCTTGAAAGATGGGCTCTACATTGATGTCCAGAGAGAGAATTTATAACACATATAACTACCAATAAAAATACTGAAAAATTAGAGTAAGAATTGCATTGTTAAAATTTGTAGACTTGCATTGTTGAAACTTATCTTAAATATTGCATAGATCTATATTCACTATGTTATAATTTGCATTGCTGCTGCATCAGAGGAAACTTAAAAATATTTCCACCTTCTATGTCAGAATAAATTGAGAGAGCATGATTCTATTAATTTCTATATTTAACAAGTTTCCGTAACTTGTTAAAGGAATGACAGCAAGTCAACATTCCTTCCCATCTCATATTACCAACCCACTCCCTGCACCCAGTTTAATAATATGGTTTGGTAAGTGCTTAATGGATGATTCATCTCTAAAGATGAGCAGTGTTCATCAGCTGTATCATATCATGAAAAGCACAAAATATCAGCTGAACTAGCTTTTCTGCATCGGTCTCTGGGCAGGATTTCCAGGCGGAACAGGCCACAACAAACCTGTGAAGCATAAATAATGATTAATGATTACACAAAAGGCTCCAGATAGTGACGGTGAATACATCCAGGACTTTATTTCATCTGGATATTCATATATGAAATGTGAAGTCTTGCTGACATTAGGTAAATGTAACGTGACACAATTGAAGGTAAAGCCTATTTGTAGATAATGCTAAGGAACACCTCATTCACTAGATGACTAGAGCCTAAGGACAAAGGAAACAAATTAGCTAGAGCCCTACAGTGCTCTGGAGCTAGATTTTACTGTGTTTAAAACAAGGAGTTCCAGGGCTTGAACTCAGACCTGGAACAAGCAAACCTGATAGACATTTACAGAACTCTCCACCCCAAATCCACAGAATATACATTCTTCTCAGCACCACATCACACCTACTCTAAAATTGACCACATAATTGGAAGTAAAGCACTCCTCAGCAAATGCCAAACAACTGAAATCATAACAAACAGCCTCTCAGACCATAGTGCAATCAAGTTAGAACTCAGAATTCAGAAACCAACCCAGAACCACACAGCTTCATGGAAACGGAAAAACTGGCTCTTGAATGTTGATTGGATAAACAATGAAATGAAGGCAGAAATAAAGAAGTTCTTCGAAACCAACGAGAACGAAGACACAACATACCAGAATCTCTGGGACACATTTAAAGCAGTCTCCAGAGGAAAATATATAGCAATAAGTGCCCATATGAGAAGAGTGGAGAGATCCAAAACTGACACCATATCGTCAAAATTGAAAGAGCTAGAGGAGCAAGATCAAAAACACTCAAAACCTAGCAGAAAACAAATAATTAAGATCAGAGCAGAACGGAAGGAGATCGAGACACTAAAAACCCGTCAAAAAAATCAATAAATCCAAGAGCTGGTTTTTTGAAAAGATCAACAAAATAGACAGACCACTAACCAGACTGATAAAAAAGAAAAGAGAGAACAACCAAATAGATTCAATAAAAAACGATAAAGGGGAAATCACCACAGATTCCACAGAAATTCAAACCATTATGAGAGAATATTACAAACAATTCTATGCACATAAACTAGTAAACCTGGAAGAAATGGATAAATTCCTGGACACCTGTGTCCTCCCAAGCCTAGACCAGGAGGAAGCCGAAACTATGAATAGACCAATAACAAGGTCTGAAGTGGAGGCAGCAATTAAGAGCCTACCACACAAAAAAAGCCCAGGTCGAGATGGGTTCACAGCCAAATTCTACCAGACACACGAAGAGGAGCTGGTACCACTCCTCTGAAACTATTCCAAATAATCCAAAAAGAGGGAATCCTTCCCAAATCATTTTATGAGACCAACATCATCCTGACACCAAAACCCGGCAGAGACTCAACAAGAAAAGAAAACTTCAGGCCAATATCCATGATGAACATAGATGCAAAAATCTTCAATAATATACTGGCAAACCGATTGACACAGCACATCAAAAAACTTATCCATCATGATCAAGTAGGATTCATCCTCGGGATGCAAGGTTGGTTCAACATAGGCAAGTCTATAAACGTAATTCACCATATAAACAGAACCAAAAACAAAAACCACATGATTATCTCAATTGATGCAGAGAAGTCATCTGACAAAATTCAACAGCCTTTTATGCTAAAAATCCTCAATAAATTCAGTATTGATGGAATGTATCTCAAAGTAATAAAAGCTATTTATGACAAACCAACAGCCAATATCATACTGAATGGGCAAAAACTGGAAGCATTCCCTTTGAAATCCGGCACTAGACAAGGATGCCCTCTCTCACCACTCCTATTCAATATAGTACTGGAAGTTCTAGCCAGAGCAATCAGGCAAGAAAAAGAAATAAAGGGTATTCAAATAGAAAAGGTGGAAGCCAAATTGTCTCTATTTGCAGACGACATGATAGTATACCTAGAAGACCCCATAGCCTCAGCCCCAAAACTCTTGAAACTGATAAGCAACTTCAGCAAAGTCTCAGGATATAAAATCAATGTGCAAAAATCACAAGCATTCCTCTACACCAATAACAGACTTAAAGAAAGCCAAATCAAGAACGAACTGCCATTCACAATTGCTACAAAGAGAATAAAATACCTAGGAATACAACTAAGAAGAAACGTAAGGGACATCTTCAAGGAAAACTACAAACCACTACTCAACAAAATAAGAGAGGACACAAACAGATGGAGAAACATTCCATGTTCACGGTTAGGAAGAATCAATATCGTGAAAATGGCTATACTGCCCAAAGTAATTTACAGAATCAATGCTATCCTCATCAAGTTACCATTGAATTTCTTCACAGAAATGGAAAAAACCACCATGAACTTCATATGGAACCAAAAGAGAGCCTGCATAGCCAAGTCAATTCTAAGCAAAAAGAATACAGTGGGAGGCATCACACTACCGGATTTCAAACTATACTACAAGGCTACAGTAATCAAAACAGCATGGTACTGGTACCAAAACAGAGATATAGACCAATGGAACAGAACAGAGGCATCGGAGGTAACACAACATATCTACAACCATAGAATCTTTGATAAACCCGACAAAAACAAGCAATGGGGAAAGGATTCCCTGTTTAACAAATGGTGTTGGGAAAACTGGCTAGCCATGTGCAGAAAGCAGAAACTGGACCCCTTCCTTACACATTACACTAAAATTAACTCCAGATGGATTAAAGACTTAAACATAAGACCTTGCACCATAAAAACCCTAGAAGAAAATCTAGGCAAAACCATTCAGGACATAGGAGTAGGCAAGGACTTCATGAACAAAACACCAAAAGCATTGGCAACAAAAGCCAAAAGAGACAAATGGGACCTAATCAAACTCCACAGTTTCTGCACGGCAAAAGAAACAGTCACTAGAGTGAATCGGCAACCAACAGAATGGGAAAAAAAATTTTGCTGTTTAACCATCTGACAACAGGCTGTATCCAGAATTTACAAAGAACTCAAACAGATTTACAGGAAAAAAACAAACAAGCCCATTCAAAATTGGGCAAAGGATATGAACAGACACTTTACAAAAGAAGACATACATGAGGCCAACAAACATATAAAAAAATGCTCATCTTCACTGGTCATTAGAGAGATACAAATCAAAACCACATTGAGATATCATCTCACGCCAGATAGAATGACGATCGTTAAAAAATCTGGAGACAGATGCTGGAGAGGATGTGGAGAAATAGGAACACTTTTACACTGCTGGTGGGAGTGTAAATTAGTTCAACCATTGTGGAAGACAGTGTGGCGATTCCTCAAGGACCTAGAAATAGAAATTCCATTTGACCCAGCAATCCCATTACTGGGTATATATCCAAAGGAGTATAAATCATTCTACTATAAGGACACATGCACACGAATGTTCATTGCAGCACTGTTTACAATAGCAAAGACCTGGAACCAACCCAAATGCCCATCGATGATAGACTGGACTGGGAAAATGTGGCACATATACACCATGGAATATTATGCAGCAATCAAAAATGATGAGTTCGTGTCATTTGAAGGGACATGGATGAATCTGGAGAACATCATTCTCAGCAAACTGACACAAGAACAGAAAATGAAATACCGCATGTATTTCCTCACTCATAGGCAGGTGAGGAAAAATGAGAACACATGGACACAGGGAAGGGGGTACTACACTCTGGGGTCTATTGGGGGGAATAAGGGAGGGACAGTGGGGAGGGGGGAGCTGGGGAGGGATAGCCTGGGGAGAAATGCCAATTGTGGGTGAAGGGGAGGAAGGCAGCAAAACACACTGCCATGTGTGTACCTATGCAACTATCTTGCATGTTCTGCACATGTACTCCAAAACCTAAAATGCAATAAAAAAAAAAAAAAAACAGAACAAAAACCTTCCTAAAAAAGTCCTTTCTAAAGTGCTACTGGAATGAGTTAAAGTATGAATTCATGCTATAGATTTCAGAGAAATCTGAACTGTTTTAAAGAGTATAGTTACTGAAGACAGTTTAAAAAACAGCAGAGGGGAGAAGGATAACAGGTGAGAAAAGCTATTTCTTGAAGAGTCAAGGAGAGAAACTCTTGGGATCAAGTCATGCCTTCCTCCATCTTTCTCTAGATACTCCTAATAAGAAATTCCAGATCTGGTCAGTGAGAAAAGCGGCTGCAGGAAGCTGAAGAAAATAGGAGAGAAGCTTGACTTAGAGCTAGTTTTCCACTTTTCAGAGAGAAGTTTCTATAGTGAAATAGGAATTAAGCTCAAAATTAAAATATAAAATGTAATGCTTCTGAAAAACCATGCAATTTTCACATCACTTCAAAAAGTAAATTATCTTCAACATGTGCTTTAAATTAAGCAATTTCTGGATATGAATATCCAGAAGAAAAATAAAAACATGTTCTGGCCCAGTATATAATGGTATAACCAATGTCTGAGTGGATTTTATTTGCTGAAAGATATACAGAAACCCCACGTCCTGCCTTGTTTTCACCTAGTGATTCATGATCACAAGCCATTCTCCAGCTACAGTGGGCATGGAATTCCCAAAGTTTTAGCAACATCTAAATATGTTTCTTTCCACAAAATAACAATTCTTATTCAAGTGTCAATTTTTTTTAAATTTCAGTTATCTTTCTAAATTATAAAAAAAGAAAAACAGCGTTTCCTACATGTACAGACAATTCATGAATGAAGTATAGTGTCAAAAATAATGAAAGAAGGCTGGGCGCGGTGGCTCACGCCTGTAATCCCAGCACTTTGGGAGGCCGAGACGGGTGGATCACGAGGTCAAGAGATCGAGACCATCCTGGTCAAACAAGGTGAAACCCCGTCTCTACTAAAAATACAAAAATTAGCTGGGCATGGTGGCGTGTGCCTGTAGTCCCAGCTACTCGGGAGGCTGAGGCAGGAGAATTGCTTGAACCCAGGAGGTGGAGGTTGCAGTGAGCTGAGATCGCGCCATTGCACTCCAGCCTGGGTAACAAGAGCGAAACTCCATCTAAAAAATAATAATAATAATAATGAAAGAAGTTTTACTTCATACATAAATAATTTAAGTTACGTTATTTTTGCACACCAACTAGGTAAATAATTTTTTTTTTGGCTGAGTAAAAGTCTTGGTCTGTCACCCAGGCTGGAGTGCAGTGGCGTGATACCAGTTCACTATAACCTCTACCTCCCAGTTTCAAGCAATTCTTGTGCCTCAGATTCCCAAGTAACTTGGACTACAGGTGTGTGCCACCATACCTAATTTTTGTATTTTTAGTACAGACAGGGTTTCACTATGTTGGCCAGATCATCTTCAACTCTTGGCCTCAAGTGATCCACCCACCTTGGCCTCTCAAGCTGCTGGGATTATAGGTATGAGCCACCTCGCCTAGCATAATAAGCAAGAATAAAATTCTCAAAAAAGGACACAAATATTTACAGTATAAATATATAATCTATGTACATTATAGGTTGGAAGCACTATATAATTATAATTTTGTACCATGTAATAGAAATGTAGATAACTTGGTTCTTATGTATTTTTTTATATTTAACAATTTTTTTTTTCCATGAGCATGTAATACATTTAAAATAAAATGGTCTTGTGTTGGGGTAGAAGAGGTGAAAGGAGAAGTAGGGGAAGCAGGCACACTCAGTGTAACTTTATGTAAATACATTGTAATCTCTAACTTTTTGGCTTTTTCATTTCTCTAAAAATGTTTCTATATTGTACCAATCCCTGCCCCCCTTGCTTTAGATTCAATGCTCCTAACACAGAAGGGTCCATATCATAAAAGCTGTCAAAAACATTCTTGAATAATCAGAACACTTCTGTGGGATTACCTGGCGTCAGCTCTGGCACGACTTCTACTGTGTCTTCCTCCTTGTCATTTGGCTCTGGTTCAGAAGCACTCACCTCCTTCAAGTCATCTTCTGTTAATTCCTCTGGTGTGGTGACTATTAGTGCTTGAATGTTTAAATTTTTTAATAAAGATGAAGTCTTACTATGTTGCCCAGGATGGTCTCAAACTCCTGAAGCAATCCTCCCACCTTGACCTTCCAAACTGCTGGAAATACAGGCATGAGCCACTGAACCTGGCCCAAGATCCATACCTTGAAACCCTTCACCCTCTACTTTTTTTTTTTTGCCATATCCACAATCTCTTTCACAATTTCCTAGACTGGCTCTGTTGTAAATCCTGTGAAAACATCTGGACATAGTTTTCTCCAGTACAAATGTATTATTCTGGAGGTTGATTGCTTTCATGACTTCATCTATAACCACAATGCCATCTTCAATGGTATAATCCTTCCAGACGCTCATGATGTTCTCTTCCATCAGGGTGGAACACAATCCTTGGTGACAATCCTTTCCACTGAGTCCTGAATGTAATGAGCCTTAAAGATCCTTATGAACCCTCACGTAGAGCCTGAATTAGAGACGTTTGGGCACAAGTAGACCACTTTGACACCTTGGATGTTTAAATCATGGGGTTCTGGGTGGCCAGTTTCACTGTCCAAAATCAAAACAACTTTAAGACAGTCCCTTGCTGGCTAGTTACTTCCTGACTTCAGTAACAAAGCATCAATAGAACCAATCCAGAAAAAAAGGTTATCATTGTCCAGGCCTTATGTACAATTAAAAAACAAGCAGCTGATGTTTACCTTTTCCCATCAAGGATCAAAGTAACAGCTTTACAGACAAGGGTAGTCCTGATTATAAACCCTATTGCATTTTCTCAAAACAGTAGAGTTAGCCTATCCCTTTCTGCCTTAAAGCCTGGTGTTTGCTTCTTGTGATGGTTAATACTAAGTGTCAAGTTGATTGGATTGAAAGATGTAAAGTATTGATCCTGGGTATGTCTGAGACAGTCTTGCCAAAGGAGATTAACATTTGAGTCAGTGGACTGCGAAAGGCAAGCCCACCCTTAATCTGGGTGGGCACCATCTAATCAGCTGCAAGCACAGCCAGAATATAAAGCAGACAGAAAACGTGAAATGACTAAACTGGCTTAGCCTCTCAGCCTACATCTTTCTCCTGGGGTGGATGCTTACTGCCCTCCAACATTAGTTCCTCAGCTTTGGGACTCAGACTAGCTTCCTTGCTCCTAAGCTTCCAGTTGGCCTATTGTGGGACCTTGTGATCATGTGAGTTAATACTTCTTAATAAACTCTTATTTAGATATATATACATAATAATATATATCTATATATACACAATAATATATATCTATATCTATATATCCTATTAGTTCTGTCCCTCTAGAGAACCCTAATACACTTCTTTTCCTTACTAACACATGTCCTTTGTGGCTTTTTTTCCCCCCCAGAATGGGGCACATTTGTCTGCATTAAAAACCTGTTCAGGCAGATATCCTTTCTCCTCTATTATTTTCTTAATGGTGTCTGGGAACTTGTCTGCTGCCTCTGGTTCTCCTGTTATCTTGACATTTTTAAAGCCAAACCTCTTTCTAAAATTATCAAACTATCCTTCGCTGGCATTAAATTCTCCAGCTTTAGATCCTTCACCGTCCTTTAAAGTTGTCATGTAATTAATAACTTGGCTTTTTCTAGAATCATAGTAGAGTCTGTAAGTATGCCTTTTTATAAAGGTATTTTGCAAAAAATGCAAAGTTTTAATGTCTGCCATGTAGCTACAGAAACAGCTTCACAAATTTCCTTTTTTTCCCAATGTTACTTAGACTTTATTTATGTTGAAATGATACACAACTGCAGCTACAGATCTCAATCTACCATACATATCAAGCAATTCAACTCTTTCTTGTAATGTCATGACTTTTCTCTGCTTCTTGGGAGCACTTACAATATCACTAGCTGCACTACATAGGGGTTGCAGGGTATTATTTAATGTTTATAGTACTGTACTACCCACAATAAAAAATTCGTGAGAGACAAACTGTTTATTCAGAGATGATTAGCATTATGTGGCATTTTAAGTAGATACCTGCAACACTTTAGCTCATCATAATAGCAACATGAGGTGGCTACAAAATTATTACAGTAGTACAGTATCACAGTTAGTTTTATGCAATTTGATTGAAAACCTCATCTTTACATTTGTTTACATTTCTCTTGACTCCAAATGGCACTGCATAAAGTCTGTAAGGGTTTATATAAGTTTTGATAAATTTTAACTTTTTATGGTAGATTTGTATATATTTTATGATAGTAAATGATGAAATAGACTAGTATCTATATTTTATGCATTCATGACATACTTAGATTTTTTGGATATTTCTAAGCTATGCAGTTTTGAATTTTTTCCAAATTGTCTCAATCTCCAGAAATTTTTCTCATTTATTTAAAATCTGCATATAAGTGGATCCATGCAGTTCAAACCCATGTTGTTTGAGAGTCAATTGTATTAGAAACTGAAATATGTCATGCATATTACCATTCCAATTTTCACTTCCTATGTGAAGTGCCTCCAAGCCTGCCCTCTTCTTATTCACATAGTGCTAAATGCAGTCACATAATTTTTATGAAGCCAATTATGCTTTGAAAGGCCCCTGTAAAGAGACTGCTAGACTGTAAATAAGGACCTTCCAAGCCTTGCTTTCACTTTAATTTTGCCTTGTTCTCCACCACTCTTTTCTATACCAGGTTTCGATCTTTTCTTTCTCTCTCTTTCCATGACATAAGTCAAACTCCACACAGCCCAAATGAACTGCATCTGAATTGGTAAAACATGTTTTAAAAAATATAATTTACCCAATCTCTTTTTTCTGTCTCATTAATATTGTCTGTGACTACATGAACTACCATATATGTTTTATCTGAGCTTACTATAAAATACCTTGTGCAAGCCAAGTATGTTCACGGGTGTACTGATTTTGAGGATGATGCTGTGATTGCTGAGTCAGCCTCAAATGATGTTCTGTAAAAAAGTATCTGAGGGAATGATTTGACAAGTGTCTCAAAAGCAGGACAGAGAAACATGAATATGCATTAAATGCCTAAGTGGTAAAAATAGTTACTTACGTAGCAAGTGACAGATGGCAATATAAGAATCATAGTGTAGGAAAGGCATTTAAATAACAAAGGTAGTATCGTTCTTACTCTGTAGCACAGTAAGAATAAAAAAGAAAAGCCTCACCTGTCATCTCTGATATGGTAGAAAAATCCATAACCATTGTGTACCATGGGAACCACCACTCCCTGGACACGTAAATAGCCGATCAGACTTGTTGAGAGAACAAAATTTCCACCTCCTCCACTGTGTAGCACAATAAAAGAACATTTTACTAGGCCTACAGATGCTTATATTGTTTCTAAAAAGCATTTAACATACAAAAAAAAAAGAAGCCAACTGATTAAGTTGTAAAATACTACAGTATATTACCTTTTGGTAAAAAGTGGGTCTGTAAACAGTTCTGGAACAGGAAGACCTTCCTCTTTTGCTATGAGTGAAAGACCTAAAAGGTGACGGTCAAATCCTACAAGGAAACCCCATATCTAAAGTTAGAAAAAAAATTTTTACCATGAGAGATTTTTTTTAGTCAGAAAAATGTTAAACATAAGTACCTTTTCCAGTGGAACAATCTTTCATCATTTTATTATGTTTTGTGAAAGCTTCTAACATCTTTTGCTGCCGCTCATGAAGCTGTATTAAAAATCAAAGGACACTTCAATAACAAACTATACAGAACCCAACTAGAAAAAAATCCTAAGCTCACTGTAATTAGGATTTGGGAAATTTGGGAAAGGAAAGATTTCTAGGAAGATCTGTAACACATGCTCCTATGTATTTTCTATAATTATTCTATTGCCTATTTTTCTCTGTATGTCCTGCTTTTTATTTCTTTCCTGGAATAGGAAAATATGAACTTGGGAGCAGCACTGAAGTGACATTAACAAGAACAAAAATAGGAGCAACTGAGATTTCAAAATGAAAGCATAACAAAAAAGTGACAATATAGTGGTTCTATGACATTAAGACACAGGCACGCATATATAACCACAGCTAGCAAAATTAAAGAAACAAATACACTAAAGCAACAGTGAGAAGGAAATTCGCTGTTGTCTAAATGCTTAATAAAAAAAGAGTATGGAACAAAGCATACAACTGTCCTGGTTTCAGAACATGAAACAGAAATCTGTGATTTCAAAAACATTCAACCACATCAAGAAAAGCTTCCTTTTAATGGCACTTCAGGAGTTTTGCGCTTATTAGTGGTATTCTAAAGGTAGATTAGAAGTACTGAAATAAGTAAAATACTGAGGACCCTTTGCCTAGAAAATAACACAAACAGGCTTCTTTTCCCACCTTCACTGTTTCTTAGTCTTTACAAATACACATTTCACTGGTGAATGAACAAATGCTTTGAAAACCTCAGAAGAGATGTCTCAAAATATTTTAATGATCCAGAAAAATTGAAGCAAAGAAGTTAGTTCCTCAAAGACCACCATTCCTTTAGAACAATTCAACAAATCTTGTTAGTTTTTTTCTTTTCCAATACTCACAGTGGTGGAAGGACCCTGCATGGACTGGCACCACCTGACTGCTTCAGCTGTGCACGATCGCACAGTCTCCGTACGGCCGTGATAAAAATACCTTGTCATAGCTGTTTCATAGCAACAACCAGGGCTACAAGAAATAATTAAGAGTATATCATAAGAAAGAAAATGCTCTAATATCATTACAGATACAGTTGCCTAATAAAGCTAGCTTTGTTCAGAGATTAGGTTCTCTAACATAGATGGCTTTAAGACTTTTAATAAAAACAAGGCTACTTTCAATACCAAAGAGCAAAAAGTACTCTGATCATGTGGGCTGTTTCAAAGGCGTGGCTGCTGTCAGGTCATATACATTGCCGTCTGTAGTAGACAGCCTCTAAGATGGCCCCCAAGATTCCTGCCTCCTGCTATTTATGCTATGCTGTAACCCCTCACTTTGAGCACAGGCTAGACATTGACTTGCTTCTAATGGAGAGAATACAGCAAAAGTAATGGGATATCACATCTGAAATTAGGGTACAAAGGGAGTTCTCTCTCGTTCTCTTATTTCTCACTCTGAAGAAAGCCGGCTGCCATGCCAAGGACTGCCTGATGGAGAGGCTCTAGTGGCAGAAAACTGAGAAGGGCCCTCTGGACAACAGCTAGGGAGGAACTGAATCCTACTAGTCCTTCAGGAGAGCAGCTGAAAACAGCCTTGGCTGATACTGACTATAGCCTCATGAAAAACCTTAATTAAGTCAGAGGTACTCAACTAAGCTACATCACAAAAAATGACCCGCAAAATTGTGATATAAAATTACTGACCCACAATATGTGATATAAAAAATGTATGTGTTTTAAGCCACTTAGTTTTGGGGTGATTACACAGAAATAGGTAACACAGAGTCCTTGATCTTTAGTTCCTTCAGAATAAAGTAGAACTAATATTTAAGAAGTTCCCCAGAGTGATATCTGTTTTCCTGGGTGGAGAATGATATAGCAATTTTAGGTATAAAAATCTCTTACTTTCTTGGTGGTTAGAATTTGGAGTCAAAGAGATCAAATACAGTTAGAGTGAAAAGTCTCTGAATGTGCATAGTAGGAGGGCTCAAACAGTTATGAAGTCTCTTCTGTTGAATGTTTCTGTCTCTCTGGAGTGAAATGCTATCATCCCTTCAAAGTGTGAAGGAGGAAGTATGAATGATATCTTTAAACAGCACTAAAATAACATTCTTTCAGAAAGCAAATTAACAATAAAAGCAGTAAAAATGAATAATAAAATAACACCACTCTGTAGCCTCAAATGAAATAATGAATCTTGGCAATGATCTTCAATGACTACTAAAACATTAGGTAAAAAATTCAGGGAGTAAACTTTTTATAACAGATGCTGGCTGACAAGTGAACACACTCTCAATCTTAAATGACGGAATAGAGAGCAAAGAGCATTAACTATTTGATTTATTGTAAAATGTAACCAAAATAAGAACTGATGCTTATCAGTTCTATAGCTCTACCAGTTTCCAAGACAAAGAAGAGACTGAGTAACATGTTAAGTATCATCATGGGAATACAATCAGGAAAATTCAGAAAACTCTATGGGATAAATGACCCTGTTTCTTCATAAAATCAAATACAATGAGAAAAAAGTAGTGAAAAGATTCCTATCATTTTAAAAAAAGAGTTCAGAGGCATATCAATCAAATGCAATGTGTAAAATTTATTTGGAACCTGATTTGAACATATCTGCTCCCTAAAAAAAAAAAAAAAAAAAAACTACGTGAAATTTCCAATGCCAGCTACGATAAGCTAGCTTGTATGAAGCCAGTCTTAATGCTAGGAATGACAACAAAAACTGGATTTAAAAAACATCTATTTGAAGGCTTTGCAGAATATTTTTTTTATTATACTTTAAGTTCTGGGATACATGTGCAGAACACGCAGGTTTGTTACACAGGTAGACACGCACCATGGTGGTTTGCTGCACTCATCAACCTGTCATCTATATTAGGTATTTCTGCTAATGCTATCCCTCCCCTAGCCCCCAAACCCTCAACAGGCACTGGTGTGTAATGTTCCCCCTCCATGTCCATATGTTCTCATTGTTCAACTCCCACTTATGAGTGAGAAGATGCAGTGTTTGGTTTTGTGTTCCTGTGTTAGTTTGCTGAGAATGATGGTTTCTAGCTTCATCCATGTCCCTGTAAAGGACGTGAACTTCCCCTTTTCTTATGGCTGCATAGTATTCCACGGTATATATGTGCCACATTTTCTTTATCCAATCTATCATTGATGAGTACTTGGGTTGGTTCCAAGTCTTTGCTATTGTGAACAGTGCTGCAATAAACTTATGTGTGCATGTGTCTTTTTTTTTTTGAGACGGAGTTTCGCTCTTGTTACCCAGGCTGGAGTGCAATGGCGTAATCTCGGCTCACTGCAACCTCCGCCTCCTGGGTTCAGGCAATTCTCCTGCCTCAGCCTCCTGCATGTGTCTTTATAGCAGAATGATTTATAATCCTTTGGGTATATACTCAGAAATGGGATTGCTGGGTCAAATGGTATTTCTAGTTCTAGATCCTTAAGGAATCACCACACTGTCTTCCACAATGGTTGAACTAATTTACACTCCCACCAACAGTGTGAAACATACCTATTTCTCCACATCCTCTCCAGCATCCGTTGTCTCCTGACTTTTTAATGATTGCCATTCTAACTGGCATGAGATGGTATCTCATTGTGGTTTTGATTTGCATTTCTCTAATGACCAGTGATGATAAGCTTTTTTCATATGGTTGTTGCCTGCATAAATGTATTCTTTTGAGAAGTGTCTGTTCATACCCTTTGCCCACTTTGTGATGGGGTTGTTTTTTCTTGTAAATTTGTTTAAGTTCCTTATAGATTAAATCTAGATACTAGCCCTTTGTCAGATAGTTAAATTGCAAAAATTTTCTCCCATTCTGTAGGTTGCCTGTTCACTCTGGTGATAGTTTCTTTTGCTGTGCAGAAGCTCTTTAGTTTAATTAGATCCTATTTGTCTATTTTGGCTTTTGTTGCCATTGCTTTTGGTGTTTTAGTCATGAAGTCTTTGCCCATGCCTATGTCCTGAACAGTATTGTGTAGGTTTTCTTCTAAGGTTTTTAGGTTTTAGGTCTTACATTTAAGTCTTTAATCCAGGAAAACAAAACCAATTTATTTTTGTAGAAGGTGTAAGGAAGGGGTCCAGTTTCAGTTTGCTGCATATGGCTAGCCAGTTTTCCCAACACCATTTATTAAATAGGGAATCCTTCCCTCATTGCTTGTTTTTGTCAGGTTTGCCAAAGATCAGAAGGTTGCAGATATTTGGCATTATTTCTGAGGCGTCTGTTCTGTTCCAATGGTCTACATATCTGCTTTGGTACCAGTACCATGCTATTTTTGTTCCTTGTAGTATAATTTGAAGTCAGGTACTGTGATGTCTCTAGCTTTGTTTTTTTTTTTTCGCTTAGGATTGTCTTGGCTATGTGGAATTTTTTTGGATCCATATGAAATTTAAAGTAGTTTCTTTCTAATTCTGTGAAGAAAGTCAATAGTAGCTTGATAGGAATAGCACAGAACCTATAAATTACTTTGGGCAATTGTTAAAGCCGCCAGGATATGAGGGCCAAGATCTGGAGAGAAGAGCAACTCTGAAGTGAGGTACCTTGGAGATTTGGCTCCAGCCCTGCTTGTCTGTAGTCTTGGAGGAAGTCCCATCTGTCTAGGGACCTGGAAGGTATCACATCCACCTGCTCTCCCAGTAATTGACCCATGAAAACTGCATTTGACTGTGGATACAGAAGCAGCCCTTTGATCCAGCTTCAGTCTTACTCAGTGGTGGTCCCAGAGACAGTCCCATCTGTCCAGGGACCAGGCAGGAGCCATACTGAACTGCACTCTCAATGCCTACTGACTGTCTAACACACAAGCAGTCCCATGACCTGGCTCGAGCCCACTCAACTGCAGTTCTGGAGGTAGTCCTGTCCACCGAGGGACCCAGCAGGAGAAAGTCCTTACCTGCTGAAACAAGTCTATAAAAATTGGAAGTGACTCCTTTAAATGCACAGACATCAGCGTAGAACTACAAGGATAGGCAAACATGACCCCACCAAAGAAAACTAATAAACCAAAATGGCATACTAAAAAATTCAACAAAAAGAGTAGTAATAGAGGAATTGATGAACAAAAACCATATAAGACCTAAATAAAACATATAACTAAAGGGTAGAAGTAAGTTCTGCCTTGTCAGTAATTATTTCAAATGTAAATAATTTCAGATGTAACTCTCCAATCAAAGAGATTGGTAGACTGAACTGAAAAAACATGGTCCATCTATAGGCATACCTAGGTCACAGATATGGTAGGCTCAGTTCCAGACCACCGCAATAAAGTGAATATTGCAACAAAATAAGTAACACAAAATTTTTGGCTTCCCATTACAAACAAAAGCTATATTTGTAGGATACTGTAGTTTATCAAGTGTAAAATTCATTATGTCTAAAAGCCTATTGGTTCTGCTTTTCTGAATAACTCCAGTACAGATCCTTACTTTTTACTATATGCAAAAATTAACTAAAAAAATGGGTCAAAGACCTAAAGTAAGACCTAAAATTATAAAAATCTTAGAGGAAAACTCAGGGAAAAGGCTTCACAACACTGAATTTGGCAATGATATCTTGTATATTATACTGAGAGCACAAGCCACAAAATAAAAAAAACTAGATATTCATAAATACTTAAAACTTTGTATATCAAAGGATACTATTATGACAGCAAAAAAGACAACCCAAACAATGGCGGAAAATATTTTAAAGTCATATATGTGATAAGGTTTTTCTATCTAAAATATATAAAGAACTCCTACAATTCTAAAACAAAGAGTAACAACCCAATTAACAATGTGTGAAGGACTTGAATAGACATTTTGTCAAAGAAGATAAATAAATGAACAATGAAAATGCATGAAAAGATACTCAACATCCTAAGTCATTACAGAATTATATGTTAAAACCACAAGGAGTTATACCACTTCACAAATGGGTAGGATAGTTACAATTTTTTTTCCAATAAAGGGAAAATAAGTGTTGGCAAGGACATGGAAATGTACAATGGTATGGCTACAATTAAAAATAGTTT